AAGAATCTCTAGATGTACAGCAGGAGAACCGGGCCATATGTGGCATAAATTGTCGGACTTAATCCATTTCATAATATATTTTTTATAGTTAATATATGCCAACGGTTGCAGCAAATACCAATATATCACGTGAATATAAACCCATAGTCAAAATGGAAAACAGTAGTTATATACATGCATACAAAGGTTTTATTTCCACACTAGAAAGAGACTTGTGGGACAGAACGAAATCCTTAACAAGCTCATTGACCTTTGACACATCCTTCTTAATCGAGGTGAAAATGCTTAAATAACACACGCGCATATATATATATATATATAGTCATCCACAGACAGACTGTTTCGCAGCTCATCAGTGTGGCTAGACATCCGGTTGCCTCTAGCTAGAATCGAAACCCGACTGAATTAGTGTTAGTCGGAGATTCTAACCATTAAGCCGTCGGCGCACGGTAGGGATGAAAGTGGATTTTTTAGCGTATTTATTTTTAGAAACACGCCCAGTGACCGACAGTGACTCAATTCGCAACTTCGAAAAGTTTCGCTATATAGCTATAATATATATATACAGGGTGTCAATAAGGTTCGTGTGCACTTCAAAAATTTAACTTTATTTGTATTTGCGATAGAAATAATCTTTAAAAATCTTATAATGCAGTGTTTCAACAAGATGGAGCTCCTTGTGACTTTGCCCTGCGTATTAGAGACTTTCTAAATCAGGAAGTTCCTAACAGCTGAATCGGAAGGGGTGGACCATTTTATTGGCCTCCACGTTCGCCAGATTTGATTCCATTAGATTTTTTTATAGAGACATGTGAAAACAATTGTGTATGCAACCAAACCTAGTTCATTAGAAGATTTGAAAACTAAAATGTGATTTCAGGCATTACTGTAAATCAGTTGGTAAATGTTTTCCGTGAACTGCAAAATCGTATTACCCTTTGTATTGCTAATGATGGAGGACATGTAGAAACTTAAATAAAATTCCAATAAAACCTTAAAAAAAATATAGATTTACTTCTTTCTAATCCTTTTTACAAATTATTTCTATCGCAAATACAAATAAAGTTCTAAATTTTTTAAGTTCACACGAACGTTATGGACACACTGCATATATATATATATATATATATATATATATATATATATATATATATATTTATATATAATCAAATGAGTAATTATAAATAAAGGTACCTGGATAGCGTGTACATACTAAAACATACATATAGCCTTTGGTGTAAGAGAAATCAGTGCTCATTTCTAAATAACAGAGCTATTAAGTATATATTAATAAAAATACATAATACCCTTTGCCGACAGTATGACGCGGAGTTTTATGCCTAATGCAATCTGCAGGTACTGATCGTTGTTTTCAGTACCTAAAGATTGCATTAGGCATGAAACTCTGAGTCGTATTGCCGACGTAGTTCTTTATCTATTTTATAATCAAGCTATGGACGAATGGTAAACTTATGAACATGTAAGGCAGACTGAAGAGAAAAAATGTCTTGCACAAAACAGTGAACCATCTTTTTTAAGTGTAGACCTAGTAATGGATTCAATATAATGTTTCCACTTCATGTCAGCCGAGAATGTAAGCACGAGAAGGCGAAAAGTGTCATTCCCAAGGAAGTTAGTATCAGCTGATTTATAGCGAGAAGTGATGTTTTGGAGGCTTTAAAATCAACAGGCCATTTCTTGCCCCAGTTACCAACTGACTGTAGATCAGATTTGAGATGAGATAACCTTACCACGCTGATCAAACTTACCAACGAAACAAGCTTAAATTGCATAGGTATCAAGTTGAGGTCTGATGTCATCAGGGAGGTGATCATTGAAAATTAAAGAACAAAGTAGGACCAATCCTAGAGACATGAGGGACATCTGCATTGTTACAAAATGATCTAGAAGAGTGGCCGTTCAAGACAACTTTTATTTTGAGATTGGATAAGAAAGACTGAATCAGTTTAAAAATTCGTGAGGAAATAACATTCAGAGTTGATTAAGGGCTCTAGAAGTTTGCCCATACAAGACGAATAGGCTAATTGTTCGAAGGGTAGACACTTTCCCTGAATACTTAAAGACACGAAGGACAGAATAAGTTAATTTCTGTGGTTTCCCTCTATCTTTTCTACAAATATTTTCATGCCAACTGCTCTGACGAGCTGTATTCACTGGTACCCAAACTGCATGAATTTAAGCATGCTACTAATTTGGCATCTCGGTCACACTATTTCACTGTCGAAACGGTTAAATGTAACGGCCTCTTCTACTCTAACAGCTTCTTATATCGAACTTCCCGACAGTGGAACTCCCTTCCTCTTACTTGCTTCCCTGATAGCTATAATCTTCAAATATCCAAATGTAATATCAATCGACATCTTCTGTTGCCTTGATCTTCGTCCCCGTCCTTGTCTTTATCCTTGCCTCAAACACCCTGCATTGCTCTTGATTTAACTCTTTGTAACCCCTTCCGGGCTAGTGGCACTCCCGCTTTGCTTGAGGCGATATGCTTAAAAAATATCACTCCAGAGACTCTAAGTGGGAAGACAGGTAATGATGGCCAAGATTAGATTTTGAGGAAAATTTACGGGCAAAACTATCTGCTTTATCAGAATAGGGAGTTAACACCTCTGATTATTCGAAGGGTAGACAGTTCCCCCGAATTCTTAAAGACGCGGACGACAGAAGGTAATTTCCAACAAACAGGAAAACAAGTGGCTCAGAGGAATGGTGTAAAGAAAATATGGTGACAGTTTGGGGGAACATTTTAAGGAGTATTACATGGAAATCATCAGGCCCTCAAGCATTGTTGGAGCCCAGACGAGAGATGATAGCAAAAAAACATGGAAGGAGTTGTATGCATATCGTCGACAAAGTTCAAAGACGGATATGCAATGTGATAGGTCTTGAACTGGCATCTTGTCTACATTCACTTTTTCACAGGCGTGCTGTAGCTTCCCTCTGTCTTTTCTACAAATATTTTCATGCCAACTGCTCCGACGAGCTACATTCACTGGTACCCAAACTGCATGAATTTAAGCGTGCTACTAAATTAGCATCTTGGACGCACCATTTCCCTGTCAAAACGGTTAAATGTAGCCATCTCATCTTCTACAACAGATTTTTATCTCGCACTTCCCGACAGTGGAACTCCTTTCCTCTTACTTGCTTACCTGATTGTTTTAATCTACGAATATTCAAATGTAATGTCAATCGTCATCTTCTGATGCCTTGATCTTGTTCCCCGTCTTTCCTTCTCTTTCTCCTGTTCTCAAACACCCTTCTTTACTCTTGCTCTCACTCTGTGTAAGCCCTTGCGGGCTAGTGGAACCCCCGCCTTGTTTGTGGTGATAGGCTTTAAAAAAATATTACTACATAGACTCTAAGAGAGAAGGCAGGTAATGATAGTCAAGATTAGATTTTGAGGAGAATTTATGGGCAAAACCATCTGCTTTATCAGAAGAGGGAGTTAAAGCCTCTGATTAATCGAAGGGTAGACAGTTCCCCCGAATTATTAAAGACGCGAACGACAGAAGATAATTTCCAACAATCAGGAAAACAAGTGGCAGCGAGGCTTTTAGCGTTCGGTTTAAAGAGTATATGGAGTCATTTTGGGAGCACATTTTAAGGCTATTACATGGATATCATCAGGTGTATTGTTGGGGTTCAGATTAGAGATTATAGCAAAAAACATGGTTATCCCTCAACCATTCTTATCACTCAAGAGAGCTTATAATAGGGAAAAAGGGTAAGCATAATTAGAAGTAGATTTTAGGAGAATTTACGGGCAAAACGATCTGCTTTATGAGAAGAGGACGTTAACACTTCAAATTGGCTGAAGAGAGGAAGAGTAGAAAACTTATTCTTATTTAACACATTATTACAAAGCCACAAATATTCACGAAAGCAAAAGTTTTTTTATAATACAACATAAGTTGCTCCCATTAAGTTCAATTGCATAAAACTCATCAATGGATTAAAACCAATGCAAAAGATGTTACCATTATCGGCTAGCGTTAAGAATATGGCGTCAAGTAAAAAGTAAAAGCGTCAAGAATATGGCGTCAAGTAAAAAAGTAAAAGTTTAAGCCATAAATGGAGTATTGCTGTCTTATCTGGTCTGTAGCCATTAAATAACACATTCTGAAATTTATAGAGTTCAAAATTGTTTAAATAATTTGTTTGGTTTCATTTAATTTGCCTTACGGTATATCAACACCTCAGTGGGTTATTTAAGATTTTTATTACTGGTAATATTTTTTTTTTTTTTAAATAACTGCTGGTTATATTTTTTTTCTTCAAAAATGACTTGCTGATCACTTCTTTTCTTCAAGCGTTTATTCCTGGTAATAATTTCTTGTTAGTAAAAAATTTTCTTCAAAAATTAATTGCTGATATTAAAACATATTTTTACACTTCCATAGTGTTTTGACCCCAGTTGGAAGGTTATCTATTTGCGCATACATACCAAGTGCTACCACCCTGGGTCAGGGTGAACATGGGAACGCCAACATTTAAGAGTCGGTTCCACGCTACTGAAAACAATCAGAGGCTTGCTGTTGGATGAGGTTTATCGTCTTACCCAAGACGTTAACGGGTTTGCCAGGGAATAAATAATTTCACATTTTACAGCCTCTTTCCTCACATTCACAAAATTGAAATTCCGCTATTTCTATGGCAAATGTTCAGATGAGCTGCGCTTTTTTAGTTCCACTAATTTTAAATCGAATCGCGCATATTTCCTCAGTGTAACTTCCCACCTACCCAGAAAAAAATTGTTCGGGAAAAGTGCTACAGTGTGAAACACAGTCCTGCATTCTTGCTTTCCTGAATACTACAATCATCTTCGGGTCAAATATCCATCGTTATCACTCGCTTTATTCAGCAAGTCTACCAAGAGTGGCTCTTTAGGTTTGCATTGGTTAAACTTTTGTCAAAATAAAATGATTAAGATGAGAAAGAAACGGATATATATAGAGAGATATTATAGGATTTACATTGAAATAGATAGATAGATAGATAGATAGATAGATAGATAGATAGATAGATAGATAGATAGATAGATAGATGCGTATTGAGTGACATAGATAAATAGATGAAGAGCGTAAGAAAGAAAGAAAGAAAAAAGCAAAGGATGAAAGGAAGAAAGAAGCGAAGGAAGAAACAAAGAAAGGATGAAAATGAACCTAAGAAACTGGTTCAATATAGTTGTTAAAAGACAAACATTGAGAAAGAAAGAAAGAAAGAAAGAAAGGAAAAAGGAAAGAAAGAAAAAATACAGTAAGAAACGGGTTCATACAGTCATTAAAAGACAACAATTGAGATAGATAGATAGATAGATATGAACAGTCTGATATAGAAAGAAAGAAAGAAAGAAAGAAAGGAAGAAAGAAAGAAAGAAAGAAAGAAAAGTGTGAGAAAGAAAGAAAAAGAACGATGGAAAGAAACTTGGCCATAGCGTTATCAAAAGACAACAATTGATAGAGATAGATATGAAATGACAGAGATAGACAGAAAGACAGACAGAAAGATAGATAGATAGATAGATAGATAGATAGATAGATAGATAGATAGATAGATAGATATGAAAAAGACGGAGATAGATAGATAGATAGATAGATAGATAGATAGATAGATAGATAGATAGATACATACATACATACATACATACATACATGCATACATTGTATAAACAGGCTGATATAGAAGAAAGTGAGAGAAAGAAAAAAAACATAACATATAGTTATTAAAAGACAAACAATGACATAGATAAATAGATAGATAGATAGATAGATAGATAGATATGAACAGCCTGAGAAAGAAAGAAAGAAAGGAAGAAAGAAATAAAGAAAGAAAGAAAGCGTACACATATAGATTTAGATCAGCATATACGTTTAATTTCTCGGGTTGCTTCTTGCTTTTCGCCCTTGGATATTTTTCCGTTGACAGAACCGCCGTTTTCGCTGGCAAGAACAAACATAGATGCACATCTTCTATTTCAGACCAGCGTCGATCGGACGACTGAACATCCATCTCGTATCTGGTTTCTTAAAGGCGACGACGTCTTTAGATTACCATCGGAAGTGCGATAACTTTGAGGCCATCAACATTCTCGTTTTTGGTTTCCCTCGCCAGCCCAAATAGATGGTGTCATCTGACCGTCAAAACGAAAACTATTTCTCGTACTTCTATCTTTGGAATCCAATCAAATCATAAAAAGCTGAACAGAAAAATCAATTATTCGATCGTCCAGTTATTGTTTTTTGTTTTGATGTCATTGATCTCTTAACTGCGATTTGTTTCTTCATATATATATATATATATATATATATATATATATATATATATATATATATATATATATATATATATATATATATATCCCAGATGCGATGAGAACGAAAGTAATATATAAATTCCAATGTTCACAGCGTTAATCCAAAAGAGGGCCCGATACGAATAGTAGAGCGATAATTATTTATTTATTATAATTTTATCAGATAGACAAAACCATTATACTCACTACAAAGATGCAACTTGGATTGTCTGTATTTCAACTGCACTTCGACGGGTGAGAATCGAAAACTTTCGATTCTCACCCGTCGAAGTGTAGTTGAAATGCACTGGAACGAAGTTGCATCTTTGGAGTGTTTAAAATGGATTCGTCTATCCAAGTAATATAATATATTAAAACTGATCCACAGAGAGATCTCAATGTATTTATTATTAAAGACCAAACAAACAGCCTATGGGAGGAGTAAAGTTTATTTAGTGTGACACAGTGACACTCACTTTTATCTGTACACACAGACACACACACACACACACACACACACATATATATATATATATATATATATATATATATATATATATATATATATATATAAAACCCAATTGTATTCATATTGTCAAGTAAACATACAATACCGTAACTAAATTGTTCTAGTTACTAAGGATATATTGTCTGATGTTAATACTTAGTTTTCAATAAATTCATTTCGTCGGCTAATGAGACAGTTTTCCTATTGTCTTTACCTTTATACATACACATACATACATATATACATATGTACATATATATATATATATATATATATATATATATATATATATATATATATATATATATATATATATATTGATCAGTTCTTACAATGAGCTCACTGTGGATGTATAACCTTTATCGAATTATCCCTACTAATCATCAAATGGTATCATATATATATATTTTTATATATATATATATATATATATATATATATATATATATATATATATAAATCCCAAGAGGATAGAATCCAGGTAGAACTCAATGTCCAGGACAGAGTAAGAATATAATATAAAAGGCTCAAGCACTAACATTCCATTGTTATAATTTATTACATTAGAATCGTAATCACGATCCAATTCAACAGCCCTACATATTCAAAAAGAAAGTTTTCTATATATATATATATATATATATATATATATATATATATATATATATATATA